CACCTGCCGGTCACATGACCAGGACAGTAAAGGTGTAGGGTCCGTACTAACTATACCTAACTGTACGTGAGTGTGTGTGTGTGTGTGAGTCTGAACTACTGCTGACAGGTGGTGCAGACTGAAGTGAAACTGCAGGTAGTTTCAAATTAATGTTCTTATGCAACTGCCATTTTGGATTTTTGACAACATATGGAAAATGTAAATAGAAGAAGAAGCAGAGGGTAATTTGTTTAAATTATTTTTTTCAATTACTAAAATTTGAAACTATGAAAAGAAGTTTTACCTAATTTTGAAACTTTGCAGGAGACACTTAATTATATTTACTACTTATATATTATATTTTCTACCTATATTTTGGAAACACCCTGGTCCAATTTGTCAAGTCAAATAATTTCAACATATTGTTTTTTTAAAGAATGTGAAGAATATGAAAAATATTTTTAAAGTATTAAAAAGATAAATTGTACTACTATTATAAATAATATTTCTGTGTGACAAAAACATTTCCATTAAATTAAGTAGCTGAATTGTGCACATCAACTTTGTATTTTGATTGATTTTGGGTATTTACATCCCTTGTCTTTGTATTCATTTAATTTAACTTCAAACAATCAAAAAGTCTGTTGAAAGGACACATTAGACTTCGCTTTATTGATTTCCTGTGACGTCAGTCAAGGCTGAGGCTGAATCAGTTTATCTTTACATTAGGTGCTGCAGCACATGAGACATCGCAGCTGGTTCTGGCTCTGAAGTGATTGTGGATCAAACAGTGAAGACAGTGTAGCAGTGCACGAGTCTGGAGGTAATTAGATTTTCATCGATTGTGAATAATCATAAGCTGATTGCGTTTGATGCCTTCACAATAAAAATGCAATATTTCTTTTCAACATTGATTTTTCTCTAACACTGGAGCAAACTTATTACAGCACAACACTGTTCCTCAGCTCAGACTGGACACATTAACACTGCAGCAACCTGAGACAAATGACTTCCTGTCTGACTGACCACAAGAGGAGAGATTAACAGCACGCACACACACACACACACACACACACACACACACACACACACACACACACGTGTTAACAGACTGTTGTACAGAGACAGTATATGATTTTGATTATGATTAATGATTGTGATTCCTGTTTCAGTGATGATGTCATAAACTCAAACAACAGGAAGAAAGCGATATAACATAACATTACTGACTTGAGACGCTGGTGCCAGATTCAATGTGCATTTTGTGACTGCAGGGGGTGTATTAAGATTAATTCACTCATAAACTCAGATAAAAAAGGGGAATCTGAATATATACCAGTCTGTCAGCGGTCACCTCGCAGCAGAAAGGTTGTGTTTTAAAGGTCCATATTTTCCTCTTCTCCTGTCCTGTATTTGAAGTGTTGATTCATAAAAAGATATATATATATATCTACATACATATATATATTTTTGTGGTTTTAAGAACCAAAAACAATCTCAATGTAGTTTTACATCTCCTCTCTCAGGCTTCTAACTGGAGCTCTAGTAACAACAGGTCAGTGAGCCAATCAGAAGAGAGGAGGCTCTGACCCTCTCTTCTGATTGGCTCACTGTTTTCTGATTGATCCAATAAAAATATAGCAGATTTCAGGTAAACAGTCAGAGAAACCAAATCCTGCAAGGTTGGATGATGGGTGGGATGGGTTGGTCTTGGGGCGTGGCTGAAAGCAGTGACTGCTTTGTTGTGACATCACAAAGTTCCAGAAGTCCTGGCGGCTGGTTTTAAGGCTCAGTTTCTGAATACAGGCTGTGTGCATTTCTCTGTGGACTGAGGCTTTGATACTTTCACAGTATTAATATAGAATCTAGACCTGCTGTATAATCAAACAACACATGGACATCTACCTTTAGACTATATGGGACCTTCAAAACCCACCATCCTTTCAGTGTGGAGTTTACATGGCCTCCCTGTGCTTGCATGGGAGTGTTTTGGTCCAAACACATGCAGGTTAGGTGAACTGGAAATCCTTTGATAGATGTAATTTTGTGATGCTATAATATAAATAAAAGAAACAACAAGAGATCACACAACACATCAGTTTTATCCTCCGTCCACTGGCTCCCAATCAAATTCCTTATCCATTTTAAAATGGTGCTCACCTTTAGAGCCTTGCATGGCCAAACACCCCAATACATTGCTGACATCCTCCTCCCTTACACAGCAAATCGGGCTCTCAGGTCTACTGAGCAAAAATTACTGGCCATCCCTCAAACTTGCTATAAGACCCGAGGCAACCATGCTTTTTAAAGCCGTGGCACCGAAATTATGGAACGTTCTCCCCCTATCCCTGCGATCCATAGACTCCTGTGATGCCTTCTATTTTATTGCTCTTTATTCATTTTATTGCTTTTATTGTTGTACTTCTTGAACCTTTGCATGTTTTATTATGATAGGCACTTTGTAATTTCTTATCTGTGAAAGGTGCTGTATAAATACATTTTTACTTACTTACTGTAATATATTAGAGCTAAAACGATTGGCCATACTTTGTCTAAGACAAAATAAAATAAATATTTTTAGGTTTTGGACTGGGAAAATAATACAATTTAATGACATCACCTTCAGAAAACAACCAGCAGATTAATCCATACTGAAAATAATTGTTACAAAATATACATAGATGTTAATGCTGGAGTATAAACCTGTGTGTGGTTACATTTTACTCCCAGCTCTCAGTGGAGAGTGCTGTCCATAGCCTACATTTCTGCTCCCTGTAGAGTATCTGAACACACACACACACACACACACACACACACACACACACACACACCACACACCACAACACCACACAACACACCACACACTACCCCACACACACCACACACACACACACACACACACACACACACACACACACAAACCAGTATCCACACCACTGTGAGCCACAGTATTCCCTCACTGCTTCACAGGCCATGGAAATACTCTGAATGTACTAACCATGACCCAGAAACACACACAATTACTCCTGTACTCCTACTTTCTCTCTAAAACACACACACACACACACACACACACACACACACACACACACACACACACACACACACACACACACACACACACACACACACACAGCATGGATATGCATGAATATAGCACAGCCCTGACATGCATGCAATACACTCCATCACATACCCACAACCACGGGACATCAGTAACTGCTCAATCCAGTCAAACCTGAATTAAGTAATTCACTTCTAAAAATGTATCTCAGCTAAGAGCAGTAATTTCATGTATCTATCCATTCTGAATTTGAATGTTATGCAAGTTGTCTTTTTCATGATGTTAGGACATCTTTTTCTGGAGCAGTGAGCATTTAAAAAAAGCTAAATTTGGCTTTATCTGCCAGCAGCAAGAGCTTTACTTACTACACTGAGTGATGTAATGTTTTTTGCTTTTTTGTCAGAAGCAGAAGACGAAGAAGAGTACTCGACAAAAATTATTACAGATATGTTAAAAACCTGTGTAATGTAGCCGAGGTTAAAGTTACATTCTCACTCTTATGGATGATGTCATAGTTTTTAAGATTAGTAGTCGTCGCGTTCACGCGTCTGTGCATGAGTGAGAAATTCCCCGTCCTGATGCACAGAGCAAAACTAAAGCATCTGTGAACAACATGAATGTTTATGAGAAGCTTCCCTTGAGGATTCAGCTCCTGCACCACAGAGGTGGAGCGACTCGCCCTCTCTGTTGTCGCACATCATGCATTCATAACGCAGCGCTGACACACACACAAACAAGGCAGCACTTCTCCTTTGGGCCTTCAGTACCTATACACCAGTGTACATAAAGCGCCATCAATGTCACTGGACTGCACTCGCGTTTTTTTTTTTCCTCCTTTATTTCCCTCTTTGTTACTGAAGGTGAACTTGTAGGGCACAAAACTGAATCCAGTGGTTCTTAAAGATAAAAACACGAGCTACTGCTGAAAGACAAGAACCTTCATGAATTTTGAAATGAATAGTGATGTGCACATTAGTTTGTATGTGACTGAGACTGACAGACACACTATCCTTGTGTTAAATTGTTACAAAGATCTACTGCATCTCAAACTCAACAAATAAATCTGAAAATCTAAACTCAATGCTTTAAAATTCTGGCACCAAAGACATGATTATTACAACAAAAGACACTGAAGCTCATGGAAAATACTTTTTTACACCATTCTTAAGTGAACCAACTGTTCTCCTAGGCCTAATCCCAATGGACCAACCCTCATGCACTTAGACTTTGAGGCATGTTCCCAATGAGTGCACGACGACTCTCTGGCAGATATTTTGGGCCCTTTATGCACAGTTACTGTAAGTCTGCATTTCTGCACACGTTGCCGGAGGGAATTGCCTATAGTTTATAGCGCTATGACATTAAACACAGGGTTGCCATGGTTACCAGGGGATGCCCAGAAGCACAAAAAAAATGGCATACAACCACCATAAAATAGAAAAAAAAAGAAGAAGGTAGAAGAAGAAAGGTTAAAAAACGTTTACGTTACAAGAAAAAATAAGTTTAGCTATAAGTATGAACACAGAGCTCAGCGGTGATTCAGAGCCAGAACTGTGTGTAGTCATTTGTTGTCTATTGACAATGATAAATCTGCTTTTCATCAGATCTGATCCAACATTACTCTTGCTTACAAACAGGAAGCAAAGGGAGGAAATAAAAAATGTCAAATCAAAAGCCTCAAACCCGGAAACTGTACGCAACGCAAGTGATGTCCCTTTCCATTTCCTCTTTATACCATTCTGAGCCGCTGCGGCCGCTGCGGCCGCCTCACACTCAATCACTTATCAGGTGATGGCAGTTAATCATGTGAGGGTTCAGGGCTTTAGGGGGGACATAAGGATCGGACATTTCTGTCTAATATACACCACACCCTGACACGACCATCATCTGCGACTGCTCATTGTGTTTTGGCTCATCAGTTACTTGTTTGCCACATTACGTGTAATCCATCCAGTACCTTTGTGTTGTTGAGTCTCTCTCCTTTATCAACATCCCTCTCTTTCTTCTTCTCCTCCTTCTTCTTTTCACGCTCCTTCTGAGGAGAAAAAAAAAGAGACAGTGTCAGACAGTGGCAGGTTTGCTACGGTTTATACAGCATGTAGTATTCATATCATACCATGTAAGGTCAATGTGGCGCTACGTGTCCTGTACATGTTCAAACACATTCAATGATCAACCTCAATACTCTATTGGCAGAGTAAAGAGCTTACAAGACGTCTTTTTAATCAATCGAGACGAGTGTGGCATTAACAATAATAATTAATATTCATACACACTTTGACTGAATCTGTATATAATATGTATTAATTAATGATGTTCAGTATAGCTGCAGGTATAGATACATAAAAAGATTCTGCGGCAAAAAGCATATCACATCAATAACTGACATGTCCCTGCCCTGCCATGCTATAATTAGCAATAAACACTAATCAGGCATACTGAAAGAAGGCACTTTTCTTCATTAAATCACCATTTGACATCCATTATAATATTCTGTAGGAGGACACATGAAGCCTAATGGTAAAGATTTGCTATACCTCATAGCAGGTTGAAAACAATTAGATCTCTCCTTCCTTAATGTGATTTTAATGCACTCACAATGCAGATTTAATGTGCAGACATTATTAGCGTTCGGAGAGTTGATGTAGTGTTTTCAGGTTAATGTTTCTGTCTTGCTTTGTTATATGTAAATGAGCCAGTGCTGATGCCAGCCACCGACATGCTTTAGTTAATGACTGTCAGGAAACCAAAGAGAAGAGCTTTAGCTTAGCGAGTGAAGCCTCCAGTCGAGCCATTATTGTAACAATAACAGTCTGTTTACTTCATTGGATGTTTGTGTTTTTATAGTTATTTATGCTGAGATTTTTTTTTGTGTCTTGAGAACATAATAAACAGGAGTGAATAACATCAATATTTAGAGACATGCAAATCAGATTTAACACTGAGAGCGTCTAAAATTATTCAGCAGTCACTGCTTTTTGAATATTTATATATATATATATATATATATATATATAGAAAAATATATGTAGAAAAAACCAAACACAGCACATTATAAACTCTGTCACCCACAGAGAGCCAGGGTCAGATGTCATGATGGCTCCACCCAGGGAGAAAGATATGTTTATTTTTGCTTGAATTTTAATTTCTGAAGATT